TATATATATATATATATATATATATATATATATATATATAATAGTGGTGGGCCGCTATTTGCGTTAACATGCTGCGTTAACACGAGACTCTTATCACACTATAAAAATATCGCCGTTAATCTATTCTTAAAGTTGGATAGCTGCGTCTATTCTATGCAAGCTATGGTGACTTTGACCTTGCTATTTTATCAGGAATGTACACCCGACCGGTGAGCCGTCTGAAAAAAAAAGGTGCCCTTTTGAATCAAATCAGCAGGATGCCTGACTTTAACTGCAGTTCGGCATTTTCACTTTAACTTATGAACATTTCATTCATTCCGCCGACATGGGGTACTGGGGTATTACAGGCAAATAAGGAGTAAGGCCTGGTGAGAGTGTTATGGAATTTAATAACGCACGCCAAATGGAAAAAAAAAGACTCCGCATTTTACGATGTGTGTGTGCGGTCCTTTACAGACAGCTGCGTATGTGGATCTTGTTGGAAAATATGTCAAAAAGTGCTACATGATGGTAATAGTTTGATTGCGGTGTTTACTTTAATATTGCAACTAAAATATGCATACTCCACAAGTCTTAATTCCATTTCTGTTTAGTTATGACTTTAGTTGGATTAAGGTAATCAAAGATCGCTGTTTCAAGCTTATGTAGGCCTACAGTTCAAAATTCATGTTTAACTGAATAAACAGTTTGTAAATACAAGTATATCTTATTCAACAAAATGTATTTTCATCACTAATTATCATAGTAGAACAATTTCTCAAGCAGTTGGTGATGCATTGGGGAAACAGGAGATGAGCCAGCCTGATCTCACGAGAAAACGTAAGTATTTTACGTTTTGCCAGTTTAGTGGCTAATTCGTACAAGTTCAGTCGTACGAAATGGTATGATTTTAAAAAGGAGGCATGGCACCTGACCCCACCTCTAACCCCAACCGTCATTGGGGGATAAGCAAATCGTACTAAATTGTATGAATTAGATCGTACGAATTCATACGAATTAGCCACTAAATGAAAAAGTTACGAATTGCCGTGAGATTGTGTTGGATGAGCCCCTGGTCTAATGCGCCAACTGGCTTAAGAAACCCATTCTCAAAGACTTATTATTTGGGTAGCACACATATTCTGAATGGCTTATTTGAATTCTGCCAAAGGCATTTTAATCTAGATTAATCTAGATTAAAAAAAAATTATCTATTTATAATTATCTATTTATAATTAACTATATAAAATTTATCTATTATCAATATATATTTTATATATAGATAAAGTCAGAATTATTAGCCTCCCATTATTTTTTTTTTTTCTTTTTAAAATATTTCCTAACTTATGCATACTTTTTTAACAGAGCAAGAAAATTTTCACAGTATCTCTGATAATATTTTTTCTTCTGGTAAAAGTCTTATTTGTTTTTATTTTGGCTAGAATAAAAGCCGTTTTTGAATTTTTACATATCATTTAAGGTCAATATTATTAGCGCCTTTAAGCTATATATTTTTTCGATAATCTACAGAACAAACCTTCGACATACATGAACTTATTACCCAAATTACCCTAACCTGCCTAGTTAACTTAATTAACCTAGTTAATTAATGTCACTTTAAGCTGTATAGAAGTGCATTGAAAAATATCTAGTTAAATATTATTTACTGTCTTCATTCATTCAATCATTCATTTTCGTTTCGGCTTAGTCCCTTTATTAATCTGGGGTCACCACAGAACCGGCATGAACTGCCAACTTATCCAGCATATGTTTTAAGCAGCGGATGCCCTTCCAGCTGCAACCCATCACTGGGAAACATCCATACACACTCATTCACACACACTACTGACAATTTAGCTAACCCATTTCACCTGTGTAGCATTTCTTTGGACTGTGGGGGAAACCGGAGCACCCGGAGGAAACCCAAGCAAACATCGGGCGAACATGCAAACTCTACACAGAAATGCCAACTTGCCCAGCCGTGGCTCGAACCAGCGACCTTCTTGCTGTGAGGCAATAGCACTACCTACTGCGCAACCCACTAGGGAAAAAATAAACAGGGGGACAAATAATTCTGACTTCAAATATATATATATATATATATATATATACATATACATACATATATACATGTATGTGTGTGTGTGTGTGTGTGTGTGTATATATATATATATATATATATATATATATATATATATATATATATATATATATATATATGTGTGTGTGTGTGTGTGTGTGTATCTCTAGCTCTGGATGGCCAGTCCACCACTGCACCTTTATTACCCTGTAATAAAATGGCACCTCTATTCCTCTATTGACACATTCCTTCTAATCGACAACAATAGCATAGGTGACAACAATGTAAATATCTATGCCTTAACCCAATCATCATTGGGGGATAAGCAAACCGTACTAAATTGCACCAATGAGATAAGAATAAGAATTCATATGAATTAGCCATTAAATCATAAAGTTACAAATTGCTGTGAGATAGCATAGTAAAAACCTGACAGTTTCTTCATCAAATGCCTAAAGTATCATGTAACGATGAACCAGTACTTTGTCAGATCAATCTTCACAATCTTCAAAATGCAATAAACAGTAGGGCTGTCAACATTAATGTGTGATTAATTACATCCACTTAACATGTTAAAATAATTAAATTAAAATTACTTTAACAAATAACTGAAGCATTCAAAATCACAAATTAATGTCATTTACATGATGCACTTAGGTGAACTTGAGTTTTGAAAATTACCCCTTTTTTATTTACCTTGGAAAAAAAGCTTGAGGGAATAACTTTGCAGGATATTGTAAATGTTGAAAAAAAAATTATACAAGCAAATGGTGTATGCTTAATTCAACAATAAGTGTTTGATTAATCACACACAAATGAAATATACTGACAGCCCCTGGTACCCAAACTTGAACACTGAGATTAATAAAGCTATTCGGCTACTAAAACACCAGTGCAACCATTAAGTTGCCATGGTTAAAGAAACTGCAAAGCTGATATTTAAAATAAGAGCTATATAATCAGTTAAAACCAACTATAAACAACAGCCTGAGGAATCACTTGAGAAAAAGCTCTGCAGATGGAGATGGGAGGAGAAAGGCAAGAGGAGATTGAAGGATGATCTGTGAATGGACAAGAGGAGAATGTTGAGTCCTTCAGGGTCCACTGCACCGCTAGTGAAAGTGGCCACCGGTTCAAATTAGAAGCCATGTGGTGACAAGTGTGAGAAAATCTCATTAACTCTCCATCCGCCCAGAGAACTGATTCATCTGTCTTTACATGGTTCCTTTCAGCAAGTCTGGATTACAGCGATTCTCCCATGTGCCGTTCAGCACTCCAGTTCATTTACTGTATTGTAGAATGAAGAACGCTTTGGGAGAAGGAACTGGATTGGGACCAAACATGCGTATGAATAACACAATCACGCCGAGCAACATAAAATGCCTTGTCTTTCATGACCATGAAATCAGGAGATGATTAAGAAATGAGCACAAGGCAATTAGTTGAAATGCGTGTAATTCACTAGCATTGACTCTATGGATGATACGATATCTGTCAAAAGTAAGCCACTTAATCATAATCCATTCGTGAGCTAAAGATTGGATGACATGGATTATTCATTATATGCCCAGATTTTTATTTTTTTTAAATACTAGCTAAACCTAATCAAACATGCCACACATGCAGGATTTGGTCATACTTTACAAGCGTTTGTTTGAATTATTATAGCCATGACATGTCAAGCAACGTGTGATAGTATCTTAAACTACATGGTACAACATTTGGGGCTTTTCATATTGCAACTAGGGCTGTGCAATTCATTCATTCATTTTCCTTAATCCCAATTATTTATCAGTGGTCGCCACAGCCAAATGAACTGCCAACTTATCCAGCATACATTTTACACAGCGGATGCCCTTCCAACTGCAACCCAGTACTGGAAAAAATCCATACACTCATTCAAACTTATACACTACGACCAATTTAGTTAATACAATTTACCTGTAGTGCATGTATTTGATCACAAAATACATTGTTTACAATAAAAATTTTCCATTATTTTTAAGAGTGCATTACAGTACACATCATTCCATGGATGCAAGCAGAAACATTAAAAACAGCATTGCGTAAAAGTAGCAATCTAGAAAGTTTACATTTCACATTTTATTTAGCAATTTTTTATGTTAAACCCTAAATAATTAGTTTCCGATAAGTGTTTTATATTTTACAAATATTTATTAATTTATTTGAGTTATTTATATTTTAGTATTTTATTCACATTTATTTTTTCAAACATTTGCCCTGAAGTTCTAAATAAAGTAAGAAATATAACAATGTACAGTATGAGTACATTTCTAGATATATACTTTAACATGCATATAAAAAAGAAATAGTCTTTTCAAGTGGTCAAAAAAGCATACATACATTCATGAAATAAAATAAACTAGATCAAAGATTTTTTATACACACAAACAAAATATTGCAGTGAATGCTAGGTGCTGAAAACAATAGTTTAGTACTGCAATGCACATGCAACATAATTGTAAAGTGTTGCCCAGGGGGTTGCACTACTCATAAGGATTGATTTCTTTCATTTATTCACCACAAGAGAAAAACACCTATAAAGTCCTAAATGAGCGCCTCTGTCATGCTTCTGTTTGCTATTAGAAAATGAAGCACACTAGATCAGTTTTAACTGATAACACGACATGCTTTCGGCATCAGAGCATGTTTTGTTGCATCGCTCAGCATCCTTCATGTGCGTGAACAACATCCAGCATCACTTTATCAACAGTATAAGAAAGCAGTTTGACAAAAAACAACGGCTTTACCTCCATAAACAATTAACACTTTTACAAAACAAGTCTATTGCACCTAATTTAATTAATGACGGCGCGTGTATCACCGGCAACAGTTGAAATACAGCATTCACAATAAAGTGCCCATTCAGGGGGCTACATTTAAAGAATAACTTTACAGATTAAAAGGAAGAATCACATACCTTGTCGGGGTATTACAATCAGTCCGCAAGTCAGTGAGTCCCGTGATTTCGCATCGTCACCTTTCAGGCAGGCAGTGAATTCCACAAAAGCCGCCTCACCTGCTTCAGCAGCGGAGGATGGAGTAAAAGCTGAGCCGAGATGCTGTACAAGGAGTCCTGCTGTGAATGGCCGGTTACTCTCTCCAGGAGGTGTCTAGTCCGCCCAGAGACCCGAGAGCGGCTGTCACTCCTGGCCGTCCCTCTCGCGGACCTGTCAGCGCGAGCCACCCGCTCTCACGAGCCAAACCCCGGACAAACAAACGCGCCTCGATGCTGCAATTGTTCTCGTAGCCGGCTGGTGGCGCTGTTGTGTCTAAAACACCGCGGGTTTGACTGAGGTGAACTCTCAGTTTCACACCTTGAAGTATCCTTCACTTCGTTTGCGGTTTAACACAAGGGACGTCGAGTCGTTTGTAGTATTTTTGTTGTTTACATAAAAAGCTTAATATATTATACACTAACTTGTATTAAAACAAGAGTTTGCTTTATTTTTTAAGAAAAAAACAAACAAACAAACAAGATAGTTCAACTTCAACCGTTTGGGCGTCTCACGGAAGTAAAAGATAATTAACGCACCTGGACCTGGACCCGCGCTAAAATTTACGTCACTGCGTTCCGCCTGTGAGCTTGATTGATTGTCAAAGATACCTATTTTTAATTATTTCCTTGTTGAAATTTCTTACAATATTGAATCTCTTAAGCTTAATAATAATAAAAATAATAAGTTACTTAAAGCTTATGACAATCTTTTTTCTTAATGATTGTGGCTGTGTGTTTTTTTTTCTCTCTCTCTCTCTCTTTTCTTTTTTTTTTGTTATTGTATTTTTTCTCCAATGCAGTGATGTTATTATTCTTGTATTCAATTAAAAAAAATTGATTGTCAAGACATAAATAGGCAACGTTTAAATGTTTGTTGGCCAATTATCTACTACTATTTATACTTTGTTTTATTGTAGACTTTGCTATACAATGTAAAATGTATTTATATTTAATATTAATATATTTATATTATTGTTTAAAATGTAAATGTTTCAATTCTAAAATCTAAATTAAAATGCCAGAAAAAAGATGCTGATAAAGATGATGAAAATAGGGATTTTTTATTTAATTATATATTACAATACTGTATATTGCCTAGCTATATATGGCCATTACATTGAAATTGATTGTATGTATGTATGTATGTATGTATGTGTGTGTATATATATATATATATATATATATATATATATATATATATATATATATATATATATATATATATATATATATATATATATATATATATAAAACCTTGCTAAGCTTTACTTGAGTTTGAGTGGCCACCAAATAAATGTCATGTTTTGTGTTGCACCACAAGGCTGCGCTGTTCTCCTCTTTAATAATTCTTCCAGCAGGCGTTTCTGCGTTGCCATGGTGATTCCTTGCCATAAATTGATGTACGAATCGCACAAATAATGCGGTTACATTTGTGTGTTTCTGTGTATGTTTCTGCATTGAATTTGAAAGCTCAAGAACATCAGAAGAGATTCTCCTTTTAAAGTCTCATTTAAACACATTGGACACATGCAGTGGCATGCTTAAATGCCATTTGAACGTTCTCTCATGAATGCGGGTAAATGCTGTAAAACGATGCTCATGCATGGATATAGCAAATGCATGCACTGTTTGTTACACAGGCCATTCTAATGAGCTGCATCAGTACTGATCTTGATTAAACCCTCTGCTCACACACAGTTTTTAGTAATTAGCAACTTCCCACCTTCAGCATGTGTGTGATGTGATTGATTGCCTAGCAACCATCTCCAGCTGCTGCATCATCAACCAATCACAAAGCATTATTGCGTTTCATTGTTATTCAATGTGGACAAAAATTTTAAGAAGACATGATTGTAGCTTAAACTTAAATACTGTAACAGAGCCATAGCCAGCCTTGTGAGGGGGGGGGGGACCTTTTTACAGTTATTCGACTTATTTTCTATTTTATTATGAGGTTCAAATAAATTCGAATGGTCACACTTTTTGACGTAAAATATAAAAACATTTTATAGATTTAGAATAAAGAAATATGAAGAGGCTACTTATTTTTAGACTACTTTATGTTATATCACTGGGGAGGGGGGCAATATGTTAAAGTTTTAAATTTAAAACTGTGCCCTATTATCATGTATTAGGCAAATAACATACTACTCAGCACATTCAACTTTCCTCAGAATTTGGCTATTTAAATAATAATAAATAAACATTGTAATAATAATCTAGAGCTTTACGATTTTTCTAGCTCCTCTTGTTAAACATAATACATTTGAAAATTCGTGGATAACAACAATAGCCTGATAAGAATTAATATGGGCCGCATGTGGAGCTTCACAACTTTTTACTGGTCATTTTTTTGTTTCAAGAATAAGGTCCAAGATTTAGAATAAAATTTACTTACAGATTTGTCTTTAAAAGCTGACTTGCATTAGATTCTGCTTGGTCTTAAAGCCTTTTTCAATTAATTATTTTGCCAAATTATGATAGCATAGCAATCAAAATATGACAAATGAGCTCATGTATGGGAGAAATACTGAACCTTTGCTAGTGGAAGGACAAGAATGTCGTAAGAAACCTGTTACCCTTGAGTTATATAGTAGTATGGCAGGGGTGTTCAAACTCCTGGAGGGCCGGTGTCCTGGAAAGTTTAGCTTTAACTCTAACCAAACAAACCTGAACCAGCTAGATATACTAGAAACTTCCTAGCAGGTATGTTGAAGCAAGTTGCAGCTAAACTCAGCAGGACACCGGCCCTCCAAAAAATGAGTTTGCACACCCCTGTAGTATGGGAAAATAAAAATAAACATTGCTGCTTTGTTGTTATAAATTTAAGAGAGTGATTAAGATCTACATCTGTTTATATCATTACATTAAATCTAAGGTGAATGACAATGCATTAGATTGTGCTGATTAGATTCAATTTAGCTTCCAGTGAGGGTGTTTTGTCAGTCTCTGTTCTTTGATGATAAGGGGTCAAATATGTGAGAATGTTTACATGTCACTAGTTCTTGTGACCAGGAGCTGTTTGAATTATTGTTATCTGAAGGGAACATCTTTGCTAGAAGCTCAGTGAGGTTTATTTCCTTTATTGCCATTTACTGTTTTGATAAGGGTCAATCCTGAAGCTGATGTGTGCTAGGTCAACAGCAACACTGCTCCTGAAATATTAAATGCAGTCTATGTTGCCTTAGTCAGACTTGCCAACACATTCTCAAAGATCTCTGTTTGAAGAAACCCCAAAGTTTCCTGATGTCTGCTTCGACAAGAAAAACTTTACTTCTGAGTTTCCTACAATAAGAAAAACTAATTTTATGAAAATCAATACTGACAGGTAACCAACATTTTTCAAAACATCTTTTTTTTTTGTATTCAAAAGAATAAAGAACACACCTTGAACTGGTTTTGAACAAGTCAAGAGTGAGTAAAATATGGCAGAATTGACATTTTTAAGTGAACGATCCCTTTAATGTCTGCCTCAGAAAGGTTTAAAGGCCTTAACATTACTTGCACAAATGTTATACAGCAAGTATAACCATTGATTAGGAGAGAAGCGGCAGGTAATAAAGTTGGTCAGATTATCTCATTAAAACTTGTAAACTCAACAACTAATCATACATTTCTACCTCTACTATACCATTTGGAAGCTCCCCAGATTCTTAAGCTGGCATGATCAAATGGGTACTAAACCGATATCAGGATGCACTTCTAAAGCCAGGAAAGTAAACTGGGTTGTTAGGGTTAGGTTTAACCAAAGTTTGTGGCATTTCTGGACCTTTTCAGGCAGGCTGTGAATGCCCTAAAAGTCACCTCACCTGCTTCAGCAGAAGATGATGAATTAAAACTGAGGTGTTGTAAGGAAGTCAAGCTTTTTCCCATTAAGTCCAAGATGTTTAGTTCGTCCAGAGACTCGGAAATGACTTACAATCCTGGCTATCCCTCTCACTGACCTGTCAAAATCACTGCATGGCACTGTTGAATAAATGCTATGTTTTAGTAATGTTAACTTAATGAAAGTATTTTAAATTTGTCAAATCTTAAAGTAGATTTTCAAAAAACAATAAAACAACAAAAAAGAAACAGACAAATAAAAACAATAATCTAACAATGGGAAGTTGGGATCAATATTTAAAAATTATTTGTATATTTAGTATTAATTTAGGTATTATTATTTGCATAGGCTACAAATATTAGTCTGTACTAATAGACAAAGTAAAATTGCTAAGTTACAAATCTATTTATCACACAGGGTGGAAATGTGTGCTGTGGCCTTGTCTTTTGAATCACTTTTAATAAATGTGATGAATTAGTTTGATTACTGTATTTTGTTACTTTTTTATGTAAGTGTAAATATTTTCATTTTTAAATGTGTTTAAAGCAAAGCTAAAAGTCTTAATGCAAAGCTGTTTTAACAATCTGCACAGTACTGTCCCTTACACATTCAGGAATAAAGGTACAAAATCTGTCATTGGGAGGGTCCCATTTCAAAAGGTACACTTTTATACCATACAGATGGACATCAGAACCTTTAAGTGACTGATTATGTGCCTTTATTTCAAAGAATAAGCAGAATGAGTGGTGTTTTATCATTGCTGTCAGATTTACACAAATAAATGAGACATGCATGCATATGACTGAATCTTACATATAATTAATGTATTTCAAATTACAGTGAAATCGACTAATCAAAAATAAGCTTTAAACAAGGAACAAGCATGGTTTTGAAGCTGTTGTACTGTGTAGCAACACAAGGCTGTGCTGTTCTCCTGTTCAATTCATCCATCTCACATTGCTGTGTTAGTGATTTCCAAAGGTTTGGCATACTATAAGTCAAGAATTATTAATTATCTCCTTATATCTATACTTTGAAGCTCAACAAAATGAACCCACCAGTTTCTGAAATGGATAGTAAACCCACAATAAAAGTTTACTCTATTTACTCTTTCTCAAGTGGTTCCAAACCTTAATACGTTTTTTTTCTGTTGAACGCAAAATAAGATATTATGATTTTAATTTTAAAGAAAGCTAAAAACCTGTAACTGTAAACCTGTAACTGTAACCTGTAACTGAAAACCTGTAACATATGGATGTCAATGGATACAGTTTTTTTTTAGCTTTCTTTAAAATATCTTCTTATATTCAACAGAAAAATAAACTCAAACAGGTTTGAACAAACAAAAGGTGAGTAAACCATGACAGAATTTTTAGTATTGGG